CAACTAGTGATTTCTGTCTGAAAACATATTGAAAAATACATTTGATTTACTAAAAGTATTATTTGAGAAAATCAACATTGATTTTCAAAATTGTTGCTGTGTTAAGTACAAAATAATTAAACATTTTTTCAATGTTTGTTCGTATTGCGTGAAAAATTGTTATGAGAACTGCAAACGTCATACCAAAGTGTAAGGATCTGCGACTATCAAATGAAGAATTTTAAACATTTAATTTATGCATTTGCTGCACATATATTGTGCATTGTTAATAATGATGTTAATTTTATTATTTATAATTTTATAATATTTTTACAACGGAACAAATGCCTAAATAAATATAGATATATTCATATAAATGATACAAATTTATTTTATTTCAAATGTACAAYTCTAACTACTCACTTATGCTATGTGCAGTTCATTACTTTTTTTTTTTAATATATACAACTTTTACCATGTTTAATTAAGTTCATGATTATGAAACATTGTATTTGCTTAAATATTCTGAAGCTGCTGAATACGATTTATATTTTCTTAAAATTGCATTCATTCTCTCTATTTGAGCCCTCATAGATTTTCATATAGATANTAATAATAATAATAATAATAATAATAATAATAATAATAATAATAATAATAATATAATTATTGATCTATCCAATAAATATAGATTTTCATAATCTATAAATAAAATCAATGTTCACAATAACTCCTTTCTGCAAATACTCTGCATTGCAAACAAACACTATTTACAAATGAAACTAAATGGATTGTTATAAACAAAGAATTACTTATAGAAAATATATTAATCTACCTGGTGACGGTGTATGAGTGAGTGTCCTCGAAGGTGTTAATGTAATATTACGTGCAGAAGGACCCCAATCAGAAGTTGGTTGAAGCAGCATCTTAGCTCTACACCAAACACTCCTGTTCTTACTTTTACTTTGTTTAATCTTTCCACCTCTTTGAATGGTTGTTCTTGCATCGAGATCATCATCCTCGTCATCATCGTCGTCGTATTTTGGTCGTCGACGAGGACTTTTCAATTGACTCTGCGATTATATTTACAATCAAAGAAAACAGCATTTGATATACCAAATTTAGAAAAAGGATTCATACAGTGTTCATGAAAATGAGAAACTTACAACAGCCATACCAAGGATGACCATAACAGGCAGCATACCAACGACCCAACCAACTGCATCAGCCCATTTAGGATACACGTAAGCCCCATATTTTAAAGGTTCATATTCAACCCAATTGAAGAACAGAATAAAGAACAAAGCTGCAGGAGTAACAACTTTCCACATCCACGTCCAAAAGAATCTCCAAAGACGACCACGTGGTCCGATCATTTTTTGAACATCGTCGAGAAATCTATCAGCTCCGTAAATCCATGCAACTAGTATACATTCACTTATGGCAATTAATAGGACAGACCAATTCGCTGCATATTTATCCATCAATTGTAACCAATACATGCCAGCCTAAAGAAAGATAGTTAATGCATAAATAAAGTGCAGTTCTTTTTTTAAATGAATGACAAATTCTTTGAAATTTCTCTTACATTAGTTGTGAAAATAATACCACCGGCATAACCGAGTACAGCAGCTGATAGGACCACCCAAAATTTGTAATTCCTTAAGGCTGGTATGCCATCAAGAATGGCGGTGGTAACAGTCTCCATTAATGCGAATTGCGAATCCAATCCCAGGGTCAATAACATTACGAAGAATAGCAATGACCAAAGTGGGGCAACAGGTAAACGAGCTACAACCTGTTTATTTGTTACGTTAACAATTTAAGACACTTTGAAATATATCCAAATTCATATTATTACAAATAACTTACTTCAGGATAAACTATAAAAGCTAAACCAGCTCCTTGATCGACAACAGATGCAACCGGTACTGAAAGTTCGTGAGCAAGGAATCCAATAACAGAGAAAATGACTAGACCAGCGAAAAAGGAAGTTCCAATGTTGCTAACGGCTACTATCAAGGAATCCTTATAACAGTTGTTGGTAAATTTGTTGTAAGAACTCAAAGTAATCAATCCACCCCATGCTGGACTCAAGGCAAAAAATATTTGAACAGCTGCGTCACCCCAAACTTTAGCCGACATCAATCTTTTCCAATCAGGGGTCAGATAAAATAGTATACCCTCATTAGCACCGGGAAGTAAAATGCCTCGACAAAAGAGAGCGATCTAATAATACAAAAATGATTATATTATTAAACTTCTCATTTGTTTTTTATTTAAAATCAAAAATTCATTCGTTGCAATGGAAAAATTAAATGATAAAGAAGATGTAACTTACTAAAACGACATAAGGAAAGAGAGCAGTAAAGTAAACAACTTTGCCGGAGCTTTGAACACCTTTACTCAAACACAAGAATACGATAACCCATGCTAAAAAGAGACTGGCAGCTATGGATGGTCGAATCATGCCAGTTTCTTCGATACCACTGCTTAATCCCAAAACGTGATTACTAAAATACAGATACAACAATCAGATCAATACTTATAAATCTAAATAAGTATATCAAATATTCATCATTTCATTTACTTAAAATATTCCTCAGCTGGTGGTCTTCTAATAGCATTAGTAATATTCTCGATGGTCAATCCCATCGAGGCCATTTGCGTAGAATTCAAACACTTTCTTTTGTAATAATAAGCATCCTCAATACTGCAGGCCTTTGCTGCATCAGGCATGTAACAATCCACGGTACTCCAAGAATCGTCACATTTCGCCCAAGGTAATTCACCAGCACCTACACCAAAGTCATCGTAAAAGCCATGCATTTTATTATTTATAAATTAATAGGATCATCGTAAGATCAAATATACCAACCAACGACCGAGGCAAAAATATAATAGAGAGTCCAGGCAATGATCAAATTGTAATAGAGCATTACGACGGAGCTAACGAGTACCATTCCATAGCCCAAACCACGAAGAAGAGGGCAGAATCTTTTATAAGCCGCTACTGGACCAAGACTAGCGAACTGACCTGTTGGAGAAAATACGATAACGTGGAGGAAATCGATAAAACGAATGATAACAAGTCTCGCTACTTCCACTTTTTACTCTCCTCTACACTCTTCTTAATGCCTCGCCTAACGTTCGATAATTTACCATGTAATATACCATCTAATTACCATAATCAATACAAGTAGTCTTGGTATATCCCAAAATAGTATTACCGATAGACTACATCAGACAAATAGAATGATTCGACTTAAACAATTTTTAGCACGCATATCTAACGATAGTTTATTTATATTTTTCAAGAAATTTGTAATTAAACAAGAGTTATTGGAATTTTTTATTGTAGTTTATATTTTGATCTTACCCAAGGAAAGTTCCATAAACATGAGTGGCAATCCAGCGATGATTAGCATCACCGTGAATGGTATTAAGAAGGCTCCACCACCATTAGAATAACAAAGATAGGGAAATCGCCAAACGTTGCCAAGACCGACACTATATCCCAAAAGTGATAAAAGGAAATCAAATTTCCCTGTCCACGTACCACGCTCCGGATGATCATCCTCACTACCTTGCAACGGAGCTTGGCTATTTGCCACAGAGTACTTGTCTTCGTTCTACAAATGACACCCAATCACAAATATGCATCTCCTTCTCACGTTTGACCAAAATTATTGGAATTTCTTTTCATAAATATAATAAAACTTACTTCCCAGTCCAAATAAGGACGAATCCTCGGAGATGCTTCCTCCATATTTCCTTCTCTAAGGACTACTCGTTAAAAGTTAGATTCCAAATATCTCGAGTGATATCTTCTTCTCTTCATGATCTCAAATATATCTCGATAGCTGGAAGAAAATCTCACCGAAGATACAAGCTAAGGAAAGTTCCTTCTTCCATCGTGTTAATCAAAATCGATTAGATCAATCGAACACTCTGTGAAAAAGTTCCTTTCAACGTTCCTTTCGATGATTCTCCGATGATGATGGAACGATCCAAGCTGAGTGTTCATCTTTCCGGTTGCACCACTACCTTTCAGACACGTCCAATCTAAAATCCCACTTTCAATTCTCGTCCTTGATATGTGTAGGCTGTTCAATTTCCAGGAGAAAAGAACACGCGTCAATAGCAGAGCGAACAACAATAAAAAATAACGAAACACCTTTCGATTTTTCTAACCCTCACACTTACGAATACATTAAAAAATTTTCAATTGAATAACGAAATTCCAAATTATGCAAGCCCTGATTCATCCTAAATAATCCACAATTTATTCAATTTAAATAAACAATTTTCGATCCTTCAAATACCATAAAAAAAAATAACAATTCAACAATCAATAAAAGTTTAATCTTTTAATTTTTTCGATAACTATTGACAGGGACAATAAATTGCAAACGAATAATTCTTTCTCACATTCATTCGAGGTGTGTAAGTATGAATCGATTGTTTACATCTCTTCCTCTCTCTTTCTTTCTTTCTACAACCTAACAAACTAACCAAGCGATCAACCTCCGCATTCTATTCGATTCACATTCTCACATTTGTCGTCATCTTTACGAAAGTTTATTATAGTTGTTGTTATCGTCATTGGTGTTAAAATGCTGCATAACAATATTACTGGGTCGGATACCAATTATCGAACTCTTAACAGGTATTATCAAGTTCATACTAGCATGGGTACAATACATGGAAACGCAATAACGTTGCTATATATTTCCACGGTTAACGTTGTTGATAGTATTTCTGGTACTTTGTACATGACAGTTTGAGTCACACGGTATTTCTTTACCCCGCCCACATAGACTTTACAACACCCTCCCTTCAACCCCCAACACTCTCCTCTGTATGCTTGAATAGACACCTATGACCTTGGATTTATGAGTTTAACCCTAAAAACAAAAACGTCTTCCTTCGTTTTTTCCAATAGTATCATTTATAATAAGTGCATATAAATTTCTCTATATATGTGCATATGTTTGTATATATTTATATGTATATATCTGTGTGAAAGAGCAAACAGAGAACAGAGTCAGCCGATCGTGTGTCCTTGTAACAAAAGATTCATGAGAAGTTTTAATAATCCCTGTGCAATTTCGAAACAATCCCTTACACCCTCTATCTCTATCTATCTGTTTTTTTTCTTTCTATCAGACATTCACAAACAAATTCGACCTTCTACAGATGTTGAACAATAATTAGCAATAACCTACATTTTTTTATTATAAAAATACTAGAACATATAAAACATAATATCGATTACTATTTGACAAACATTTAATTACCGTTTGATGAGAGAAAAATTTTTTTTTAACGTTTGGATAATAATGTAAATTTATTTCCTATAAAAAAGTTTTATTATTCTAAAACGCATCTTGTTCTAAATGCACTTATGTAGAATATCAAAGCTTTAATGTGAAAGTATGTGTTAATAATTTGATGAAATAAATTCAAGGAAGATAAGAAAAAGTTATTACGTTTTAGAAAAATACACAAATACATAGACAATTCCTAACCATTGTAGTGATGTAATTACGTATATCTATGATACGATTATATCATTTACGAGGACTACTACATTGGCAATCTAACGTGAGTGTAAAAAGAAAGCAATCACTTTGGATTAATCTCATGATAACGAACTTTATCGTTTAAAACTTCAACATTTTAGAAATGATTATCTAGTCTTAAAATGGCTCGTGAAATAATAGCTCTTTAAGCTGTATTTTTAGAAATCAATTATATCTAAACGTTGTTGTTTCACGAATCCCCAACCAACACCGAGAAGAACTGAACTAACTGTTATTGGTTCGGAGTTACACAGTTACGTGGTCTCGATCCGGTCAATCGCAGAATAAATGGATTCTTTATAGGTAGAAAGAGATAGAAACAGAGAGAAAGAGAGACTCATCGAATGGGAATAGAAAACAATTTACCTAAACATTTTAAAGGAACAACATGGGCGCCGACGTTAAATGATTTACTCACTGAACAATTTATTTTCTTCCTATAGGAAAAAAAGTGTCCTAGTTTCGTGCTCACTTGAATCGTATCTATAAAATTGTTTAAACCATACGAAACCAACAAATTACCACCCCGTAAATTAAAAAATAATACAATGATCTAACATGTCTCCTCTTCGTGATAAAAAAAAAATAAAAAGATAGAGAGAGAGAGAGAGATATTTGCGTTTATAGAAAATAATTTAATTAAACGTTCTGAAAAAACAACAGAAAAGTATTTTATTTTCGCGTGTTACTTACAATAAGATCATATCTTTGATTAATTAATATTCTTGAAAAGACTATGTAAATGAAATGAAACAATGCATCTCCGATAGAAATATTATGAACAAATTAGTGACCCCTCTCTCTTTCTTTCATTTTCTTTTTTTCATTAATTCTTTAACACACACCTGACACACCTCCTTTTCCTCTTGCTGGGAAACGAATTAAACACTTTGTGGTAACACTCTCTTCCACGTCTTCTTGTCTAAATAACGAAACGAAATCCAAGTATTCGAAATGATCGATGATCAGCTGTAATAAGAGGTAACAGCGCCGACATTGTACCAACTACGAGAGAACAAGCGATGCATTCGCTCGTGGCGAACGTGGAGAACGTGGTCGTGCCAAGGTCAGACGACATACACTCTTGTCACTGGACTTCAGGGTCACGGACGACTGTTATCAGCAATATCGATGAAGAACAAGAATATTAAGAAGAGAACGAACGACGAAGAAACGCGTCACGATTAAACGTGCGTCACGAGCGTTTATTAACGCCACGATGATATCTTTCCTCTCTCACATCGAGTAGTAGTAGTAGTACATCGTACCAAAATGACTATCTTCTGAAGATTAACCGGAAAAACGAGACATAAATAGGGATGGAAAATAGGAAAAAACTAATAATAACATTTGCACTAGAGGGGATATAATAAGATAAGATAAAAGATGAAAAATATTATAAAAGGGGGATGATAGAATCGATAGAAATAGTTAAGAAAAAAAATATAACAAGAGGAGAAAATATATGAAAATTAGAATTGATAGAAAAGAAATGGGGTAAAGTAAAAAGATAGAAAAAGATAGTGAAAGGGATAGAAAGAGAAGGAGAGAGAAAGAGAGAAAGAGAGAGTGCGTGCGTAAGGTAATGACAGTCGCGAAAGAGAGACAGGGCGGACAGTGAAAATGGTCCGTGCCCGGGCAGCCAGCCAGCCCGCCAGCCAACTTGCTTATGGGAGCTTTTCTACTTGCAGCCACCCCTCTAACAAACCCCGCACGCTCAGCCCTGTCGAGCCTCGAACTCCACTTGGATCGATCGATGTTACTGCGAGCTGCGTCCTACCCTAAACCTTGCTTGCACTCTTTCCCTCTCACTCACTCTCACTTATTATATCTATCCCTCTCTCTCTCACACACACTCTGATTCTCAAAGTCCTCCGTCACCTCGTTACTCGCCTTCACCTACTGCCTTTTCTCTCTTACTCTCTCTATCGTTCTTTATTTATTTTTCTCACCGTTTTTCTCTATTTTTGTTTTCTTTTTTCTAACCCCTCCCTCCCTCCCTCCCTCCCTCCCTTTCTCTTTCACTCTCTGTCCCTCATTTTTTGATCATCATATCCTCATTCTGAACTTCCCAATTAACCCAGGTATCGACACCACCAAGTTCTCCCATCCACGGAAACGAATCTTCCACCCTCTACTTATTCTTCCATGATATCTTTCGACTTGTGAACTGATTGCTTTTATAGATATGATCCTTTTCTTTATCTTTTTTTTTTCTTTCTTCATACTATTTTTTGTTGGATGATAAAAAATGGAATGATTTTATGATACCCATAATGAGATCGTGGAAAACTTTTGAAAAGAAAAATCTCACTCACTCTCTCTTTCTCTTTCTACCTTTCTTTTTTATACATACATATATATTTTTCTTACTTACTTACTTATACATTTTTATTTTCTTTATCTTTTTCTGTTAAAAATTCAAAGATTTTTAATTTAATCTTCGTAAGAAAAAAATATATATATGCTGAGATCATTAAATCTAGTTTATCTTTTACTTATGTGTTTGTACTTTATGTTTCTTAATAAAAAAATAAAATAAAATAAAATAAATCTATCATATCTATAAGAAATGTGTATTGATATCGTTAAAATTTCAGGATAAGAATGATATCTCTCTCTCTTTCCCTCTCTCTTTCTATTGTTTTCTCTCAATGTCATGTTTATTCGGACGAATATAATACGAAGTAATAAATTTCAGAAAACCTGGCAAGCATTAAAGAAATTACACGGAAGAGTGGTTCGTGCATTCGGACGTTTGTTTCAAAATCGACGTTCGTCCTGACGTCAGACTCGACACCAAAGGTAGAATGTCAGACGTTTGACGATGTATCATCGCTCGAAAATTTTAAACCCCCTATAAATTTATCTACATATAGGTATGAAAATTTATCTAACAAGAAAAAAGAAAATAAAAAGGAAAGTCAAGACGTTCGATCAAAGTCTTATTTCTTATCCGATACGGAAAAATGAAAAATATTTCGCTTTACTGGAATGCAAAAGAGAAAAAAAGACAAATTATCCTTTTTTAAATTTCTCACTAGTTTTTACTCTCTCAAAAATAAAAAATAAAACAAGAACAAAAATCACACACGTTTAAATCACATTTTATTAGAATTACTTTAAAAAAAAAAATAAAGTTACTCTCTCTCATAATTATTATTATTATTACTATTATTATTATTATTTTTAATGGGCAGTATAACATACGACATTTTACAATTCACCCTATTTATTTCTTTATTTTATTTTTTAATTTTTCTAATTATTCAAAGAAAAAAAATCACTCTCATTATTATTATTTCTAACGGCCAGTATTACGTAGGAGTATTTCGTAGCTCCTTTGTTATTTTCCCTATTTTTGAAAAATTCTTCTTTTATTAATAGCGTTAAAAAAAAAAAAAGAAAAAAACGTCACTCGTTATTATTATTATTATTATTATTTTTTTTTTTTTCCAAACTAATACGCGTATTTACTCTTCCCGCCCCCCTCGGCATTCCATTAAATACGATATCGGTTCATTTTCATCGTGATTATTCTTCGTTTTCTATTGCGTTATTTATCGTTAGAAATATTCAAGGATGTGGAATAATTCGTACGACACACATACATATAAAAAATAAACAACTATTCGACCCTGTACAATAAGACTTTGTTAGACTTTGTTAGAGAAGCGACTGAATAATTTCCCGAGAGTAACACGATAAGAAGAGAGAAAGAGAAAAAAAATATAAAGAAAGAAAAGAAAGAAAGAAAAAAAAAGTTTATTTTTTTTTATCCCTTTGGGGGTAAAACTCAGCGAGGGTCAAAGAAGAATACCGCGTAAGAAGCAACCGGAAACGAAAAGTACGCTAAAGGAAAAGCTAAGGAAGAAGGTCAAATCACTTCTATCGAAGATCTTTTATTCCTTGAAAGAGTGAAAGAGAAAGAAAGAAAATAAATGGAAGGGGTAAAAAGAAAGAAAAAAAACAGAGGAAATAAGTCCCTCCTCCCACCGACCCGTTTCCTTTTTTCTTTTTTTTCTTTCTTTCTCACTCACTTTTTTACGAATCTCCGCATTAAACTGTAAAAAGGGTGTTGTAGTTAGGGCTCGAGAGAAAAATAGAGTTAGTGAATGTGTGAGTGAGTGAGAAAGAAAAAAAGGGATGATGTTCACTCTCGAGTTGTAAGGGCTCGATAGGTATTATCGATCGTACCGTGTCGTCTTCTATCGAGATTCATAATGCTCCTTTCGTTCGTTCGTTCCTTCATTCTCCAAAAAACAAAAATGAGCTGGCTTGGTTATTGATCATTTCGACGTTCACCGATAAATATGTCACGTCACGTGATATTCGATATAGAAAGAAGTAAGATAAACACTTTCGAACGTTAATACCTTCCTTACTTCTTTCTATATCTTACCATTGTTATTGTCTATTCGTTTTCTCATTTATTTTTTTTTTTTTAATTTTCACGCGTGCAAAAATTCATTTCTAATTAAAATAAATACGAAAATATTATCGTTTCTTTTTTCTGATTATAAACAAGAAATTTGTTAATTTATCATTTGATGTATAACTTTAGAATGATTTTATAAAACAAGTAGGATGAAAATTAAATACAAAAAAATAGAAAGCAACTGCCAAAAATGGTTACCAGTTACAAATGATCTATAAATCTTAAGATTCGTTATTTGAATGCACATTATAAATGATATGTGCTTGTAAAGCTTGATGAAAAGAGCATGTCGAGTAATACAAAAAAAATTGAGTGGGCGTGGAAAGAGAATGAGAAAGAACAGAGAGAGAGAGAGAGAGAGAGAGAGAGAGAGAAAAGAAAGGAAGAAAGAAAAGGAGTAAAGGTGAAGAAAGAGATTAGAAAAGCTACTACACGACACACTTTTCTGTTAACCCTAATAAGCGCCACTAATAAATATAATTAGAAATAATTAATGATTTTTTTTTTATATAGAATTAGATATTAATTTTCGCGTAAGTGCACCTATTATTAAGATCGAATAATGCATTTCAGAATATAATATATTCATACAAATATAACAAATAATGCAATACAGAAATTTCCAGTATACACCTCAAAAGAGAGAGAAACAGATTTTTTCTGTCAAAATGAATCGAGTATCGATAATTTTCCACGTGTTCTAATGTGGCTTTGTGTTAAAACACAATTATTATATAGTATAAAAAAAAAATTTGTTAAATTAAAAAAAAATCTCTTTTTAAGAAAATTAACTCTCTGCGTGATTAACTTATTTTGCATTTTATTAAAATGCAACAATAATAAATTACAGAAACACAAATAAAGTAAAATTATGAAAAAATGTAATGTCGTTGATCTATAAAAGCTGTAGACCTGAAACAGATATTAATAAACATTAAATATTTTATTAATAAAAAAGTTCAAAATCTTTGGTAAATAGCCACAAATATTTAAAGTTATATTTGATATAGAATTTTTAAAAACTAAATGTTTATATGTAAGTGGCTTCAAAAATGCATTTATAAATATATCAAATGGAAGAGAATTAAAAAGGTTTGTTGTTAAATCCAACGAAGATCACCTGTAACAAAAAGAAAACTATATTAATCATACAATCAAGTGATATGAAGTAGCCTAACATATGAATCGTCCAATTCGTAGATGCACTTTTCAATTGAATTCTCTATTTATTTTTATCAAATCTCTAATTAATGTTGCAATAATTTTAAATTTTAACGCGTGATTTTACATTTACATAAAATATAGATTTAAAAAAGGGGAAAAAACATATTAAGTTACAGAAAAAAAGAAAACAAATCTATTAATTATTGACTAATACTTTTAAACTGCATTATATAGAAAAGAAAAAACTACAAATTTAATAAAATACGATCATAGTTAAAAATCTTAAAGACAAAGAAAAAAAAGAGAGATTACTTTAATATTCAAAAAACGATAATTAGGCTTAAAAATGTAATAATAAGGGAATTTAAATTTTTTTGATTCGAACTAACTAAACACATATGCATCTTTTTGACGATATAGACACAAGTTTGGTGTCCCAAGGAGATGGAATGGTTCATCATCTCCAATTACAACTATAAATTAATGACGAGCAAAAGAAAAAGAAAATAGAATATAAAATATGACTAGAGAGCCATTCCCTCAAGGTTCGAACTTGCTGTTGAACTTTTGAAAATAACTCAATAGCCTGTAGTTGCCCTCTTCAGCCACAATTGAGTGGGGGCCTCTTCGACATTAAACCTTTTCTTTTTTCATTCCATGAAAACTGCATTTGGACATTTCCTACGTGCGAGCAAGATAAGATCTTTTATACTAATGTTGCAAATGAACTTGTAGTTTGTTATGATTCTAATTTTCAATTATTAAAAAATTAATTTACATTTCGCGTTCACTTTTCTAGCTCGTGGACCATCAATGAACTCTAAGTTCATTGACCATATACGAGAACATTTAATCGAATGTCCAAGCAGATAATGATTTCCCTCGATGACCTAATAACACT